AGGACTGGCTATACATTTTTGAAAATGTGGTGGGAATCTACTGTGATTCAGTCTGTACCTGAACTTGTTTCAGTCAGATGGCTTTTTGTTACTCTTTCAGTTTTCTCACTTATTTTCAGTCTGATGATGTTACTGATCTCAGTTTTGTTTAATGTTTTGGTAGTTTGGATGGATTTGGAAATTGGTACATTTCTTTTAGATTTTCCAAGTTAATTGAAAACATATTTTAAAAATAATTTTGACCACCTCATTCTCATTTATTTTTATGTCTGTCGTGCTTGTATGTGTGTCTGGGCACCATGTCTATGCAGTATCCATGGAGGCCAGAAGGGGGTATGGAATCTCCTGGGACTGGAGTCACAGACTGGTGTGAGCCACCATGTGGGTGCTGGGTATTGGGACCCAGATCTTCTGGAACAGTAGAATATGCTCTTAACTTCTGAGTTACCTCCCCATCCCCAGAACAAAGGCTTTGTAATCATTTGTTTATTGTGGTCTGAATTTCTTGGTGTCTGTTGTAAAGACACCCTCTTCATTCTTTTAGTTTCTTGGGCAAATATCTGCTGATTTTCTGACTTATCATCATCTTTAAGAAGCAGCTCTTAGATTTATTGCTTCTTTCTATTGTTTTATTTGTTTCTGTTTCATTAATCTCTGCACAGATGGACTTTTTTTTTTTTTGGATGTGTGCCTGATGTCAGATTCTAGCCTGCTAGGGTTGTGTGGCCAGAGTTAGGCTGCATCTTAACCAGCAAAGTCGGTGTGAGCCATGGTCTGGAGCTATGCCTATGGGTATGGATGTAGCAGCGGTGGGAGTAAGGTAAGTCAGAGCCTGAGGGTCCAGAGTAGGTCACCGAGTGTTGAGATGGTAGCTGGGGAGGTGTGTGATTATTTTCACTTCTTTTTTTCTGTTCCAAGACAGAATTTCTTTGTAGCTTTTGTGCCTATACAGGAACTCGCTCTGTAGCCCAGGCTGGTCTCAAACTCACAGAGATCCACCTGTACTCTGCCTCCTGAGTGATGGGATTAAAACATGTGCTATTACTGCCCGGTTATTTTCACTTTTTAATGACAGGCCAGTGACTGTGAGTAGCTAAGCACTTATGAGGACATGTAATTAGTAAATGGTTAGTAGTGTCTAGTTTTTTTTTTTTTCTGTGTCTATATGGTTACCACTAAAAGAAAGAGTGGTTTGAAAATATGCATGCCAAAATAAAACAGATGAAAGTATAAAATAAAACAGATGAAAGTATAACCAAGTAAATGTTTATTCTACCTTTCCTATATGCATAAAATAACAAGAACAAGAAAATAAAGAACAAGGGGGAAAAAAACAAGAACAAGAAGAAAATAAGAAGAACAAGAAAAAAAATAAAACTAAATGTGACAGTGACTACACAACTGTCCATGTCCAGCCTCCCTCTGATGACTCAAATGAAGAACAGAGAGCCCAGCTAGGTCAACACAGTATTCATTTCTTAACCAGCACCTCAGGGAAAGATTAAAGGAGAGGATGAAAGAAGGTACTGAAAACTCTGAGTCGAATCTCACGCTTCTGATGAAGAACCGCACCCTAGTACTTCTGCAGGAAGAACACGCTCAACAGTAAGTGGCTCCCACTAATCTATAAAAGGCTCTATTTCATCATGAGGGGAAAGATGAATGCACAAGGACTCTCTGTGGTACTGCAGAGGGTTTCCAGACAGAAGAACCCACCCTTGAACATGCCCTTGCGCTTCCTTGTTCTCTTAGTCACAGGAATAATCTTAGTAGTCATAGTCCAACTTTACAGGCAGATCATTTAAACCCTGAAAATAACAAATCTTAAACTTGCCATGGCTTAAACACAAAAGTAAATGCTAAACCCACAATGCTGTAGTAGTGAGGAAGCTGGGAGTCGTTAGCGTTGGGATGATAATTGATGTATGTAAGCCAAAGCATAAGTATTTGGAGATTTGATGTTAGACATATGCCTAAATCTAGCAAAACCCAAGTGCAGTCATTTAGGCACTTTATAGAAACAATTTTACTTAACTGTAAAAAAAAAAAAAAAGACACCATACTTCTGTAGTTAACGATATTTATGTTAGGACAATTGAATTCTCATTATTTTCTCCATCCTGCTTTTACTTTAAATGTTTCAGAAATTTGTCTAGATTTGCATTCCTTTTTTCACTTCATTGAGAATTTCACACAATGTATTTGAATTGCATTCATCCCACAGTCCCTCACAGATTACATCACCTTTTCCTACTCATTTAATTTTGTGTCCTTAGGTTTTTCTCTAAATTCCATTGAGTCAGATTTGGAACATGGTCCACCTACCAAGGGCTACATTTACCCTTAAAGAAAACTCCCTCTCTCTCTCTCTCCTTGCAGCAATTGTTGCCAGTAGCTCCTGGGGGGGGGCTTCAGGTTCACCTCCCCTCTTCATGCTGGTTTTTCTCTGGCTTGAGATTGCACAGGTCTTGCACATGTTATTACAACTGCTGTGAACTGCATAACTGCAACTACCCTGTTTTTTTTTTATTTTGTTTTGTTTTGTTTTTTTTTTTTTTTTACAGAAAATACTGCCTCCTTGTAGTTACCCATGAGTTCCAGCTCTTAGAATCTTTCTGCCTCCCTCTTCTGAAATGATGCCTGAGTCTTAGGAGAGAGTATGAGATAAGTGTTTCATTTAGGGTGGAGCATTCTGCAGAGGGAAGGTGTGGGTCTCTGTCAATCACCATCTACTGCAAGAAGAAACTTCTCTGAAGAGGATTAATAGAGGCACTAATCTATGGGCTTAATGAAATTGATAGGTAAGTCATGAGGAACCAGTTTAATGCTGACCTCTATGGGTATTCCAAAAGAAACATTTACATCTATATATTCAAGCTTATATCTACAAATGAGAGACTTACAGTATTTTCACTCTGGGTGTGGACTACCTCACTCTGGATGACTCTTTCCAGTGTCATCATTTTACCTGTGGATTTTATGTCTTAATCTTACTCGCAGAATAAAACTCCATTTTTAAGTATGCCACATTTTTATTCTCTGTTCATCAGTTGATGGACATCTAGGTGGTTTCCACTTTTCTGAAAATCGGGAATAAGACAGCAATGAACATGGATGGGCAAGTATTGCTGTAGTGGGAAATAGAGTCCTTGGGTAGATGCCCTGGAATGGTCTAGCAGGATGAAGTGGTAGATTTATTTCTAGCTTTTTGAGGAACATCTTCCCTGATTTCCCTAGTTAGATACACCAGTGTCTCCCACCAACAGTGTAAACCTGTTTTCTCTCTCCCCATATCCACGCCAGCATTTGTTGACATTTTAAGAATCTTAGTCATTCTGACTGGTGTGAATAGAAATCACAAAGTAGTTTTAATTTATATTTTTCTGATTTCTAAGGATGTTGAACATTTAAAACTATTGGTCATTTGCTTTTCATCTTTTGGGAGCTATTTGTTTCATGCCATGCCTCATTTAAAAAAAAAATGGGTTGCTTTGTCTTGATGTTTATTTATTTATTTTTAATTATTTGTTAGTTTGCTTGTTCACTTGTTTTATATTATACATAGCAGCCTTCTGTCAGACAGATAGCTGGTGAAGATTTTTCACATTCTGTAGGCTGTCTCTTTACTCCAGTTATGGTGTCTTGAAAACATCAAAAAAAAAAAAAAAATCGAACAAAAAATAAATCCACCTTTAACCTGAATCACACCTTCTGGTAGCAGCATACATATATAAAGGGTGTAGAAGAAGCAAGTTCATTCCTTTACTGGCATTAGAGCCTACTTGTTTGGATTTTGGTGTACACTGAAGAGCAGCTGAGACATCCAGCCTCATGGACTGAACAGTTACTAACTGCTGGAGCCTTCAAGTTTTCATTGGTAGACATCCATTGTTGGATAGCTGGACCAGAGCTTGTGAGACATTCTAATAAATTCACTTTCTTTGTACACGGAGTGATTGATTTTTACCTGTCCTGCCCATGTAAAGAGCCTTGAAATATGTATCTGTGGTTTTCTTCCTTCCTTCCTTCCTTCCTTCCTTCCTTCCTTCCTTCCTTCCTTCCTTCCTTTCTTTCTTTCTTTTTTCCTTTTTATCTGCCCACTGAGGAAAATGTGTTGGTTAGGTTAACAACAGTACTCATAAAGAGTACTTCCTAGACCCATTATTCTCTAAGTATTCAATTTACCCTGAAGACTACTCTTTTTTTTTTTTTTTTTTTAAAGAGTTTGCCCTGAATTCCGGAAGAAAACTTTGGAAGCAATGGAGCCACCATCATCCAGCCTTGTGGTGGGAGACAGTTCTGTCATTATTTTATCTGGTTCCTACATTTTTCTCCATGTTCTCTAAAGTGCCTGTGACTGACAGGTAAAAAGTACCTCAGTTCACCTGACCTCAGCATGAAGCCACAGACCAAGCATCTTCTTTTGTGTCCTTAAACCTCTCTCCCTTTTTAAATTCGAGACGGGTTTCCCTGTGTAACAGTTCTGGCTGTCCTGGAACTCACCCTAGACAAGGCTGGCCTAGAACTCACAGAGATCCTCCTACCTCTGCCTCCTGGATTCTGGAATTAAAGGCACGTACTACCCACACCAGGCCTTAAATCTCTCTTTAAAATTGTTAATATTCAGGGCACCCTTCCATCTGTGGGACGGGGAGTCACTGTACTCCACATTGAGGAAAGGGCTGTGCTAGCTAGCCATGTTATTTTCAGAAGGAAGAATGGGAAGCGCCTGTGGAGTGCTGGAAGATAGCAGGATCAACTATTGGAGCCAGGGGCAAGAGCTGCTGAAATGCAAATCTCTACAGATCTGGAAAACCTCTGGGCCTGGGCTGGAAGGCAGAGACAAAACCGTTGTGCTGCGTCTTTAAGAACACTGTAACCATAAGGGCGGAACTCATGTCATTTAGACCTGACTAGCCAATCAGGGCCTTCAGTTCGAACTGCCAGTCAGAAGTGGTGTAGGGTTTTTCCGGGAGCCGGGCTGCAAACTCTGCTTTGCGGAGAAGTTGGAGCCAGTGTTTTCATGTGCTGTGCTGCGAGTGCTGCTGCGGGGAACTGTGAGGGGGTCATGGGCGAGCTGGGAACCAGGAACATGGTGAGTGAGGGGCTGCTGTCCCCAGATGGGGAAGAGCAGATGGGGAGGTGCGGGAGCCGGTGTGGAAGGTCCTCACCAGGGTTGGGTGGGAGTCTGTGGACAGATTGCTTGTCCTGTGAGTTCCCACGTGGTCCCTGCGATTCCCTGGACCCATACACAGGCTTCGGAATAACTTTGCTGTGTGGGCTTGATCTGTGTAGAGCATTTAGAGCAGGGAGCTGTGTGTAGAAACATATTTGTAGTCAACAACAAAAGTGCTTTTGGTGCCTCAACGGAAGGCAGGTTTCCAAACATGATGAGACCTAGTTTCTCCAGTTACTTCTAGGCGCTCAGCAGTTTGCATTTAATCTTTACGAGAACGGTCCATTTACAGTTACTTTTGTGGAGGTTGTAAAAGGCATCTGATGTGTTAGTTAGCACTCCACTACTTAGCTGTGATATATAAGAATAGAATTGGTGACATAAAGGATTTACTAGTGCCCGGTAGGTAGTTTCACTAGGTAGAATTTAGCTGAGGGAAGGCTGCCTCTAATACACCCCAAAGATAGCAGGGCGTTGGTGGTGCATGCCTTTACTTCCAGCACTGGAGAGGCAGAGGCAGAGGATCTCTGTGAGTTCGAGACCAGCCACATTTGGCTCCAAACCATTACAAAGGAGACACCCCTACTGCCACCAGCCACTAGGCCCATTCCCATATCAAAGAACAGGCCTCTAACAAGCAGCTCATGGAGGCATCACAATCTACATCAAAGCCTATTATGCCTTAAAGTTCCAGTTTTCTTCTAGAGAAAAGCATAGTTCCCAGAGATGGGGACTATGACACCAGGTGAGAAGTAAAACACTGTTGTGTTAAGGACTGGCTTGATCAAACAAGGTTTGCATTCAGGCCCTAAGACAGTGAGGAGGAACATTCTTGAGAGAGCCAGTGACAGCCTAGGGCCTAGGCCTTGGGAGCTTTGCCTAGGGCCTTGATGTATTGAGAATAAAACAAAGTTCTTTCTCTAAAACCAGGAGTATAGAGCTGGGAATGGTCTGGGGCTTTTGTGGAGGGGATCCATCAGGTCGAGAACTCAACTCTTCCCACCACGTGGGGCTGTGGTTATCAGTACTGAGGGCACTGTAGGCTTAGTCAGTAATGTTCTTGAGATTCCCTGTGTCCCCTTGTGCACCGTTGTTTGATTAGCCAACTCCTGCATTTGTCCCATTGTATGATAGTTTCTGGTGCATTCATAGATGTTCCCCATTTCCTTTCATTCTCCCCTGGAAGTAGTATACAAGATGCTAGTCTTCTTAAGAAGCTTACTTGGCATAAGACAGCTTGTGCAAGATCTCCTCACCCCAGATTTTATATTTTCTACCGCTACTTTTCCTGTCTTTCTCATTCCCTGGCACGGTCACCTCAGGACCTGAAGAATGACCTGCTGTCTCAAGTCACTGGTGTACTTCAGAAGTAATTCTGAAAATATCTTTACTGTGTCAGTCCCCCATCTACCTAAGTGTCTAGATTTGCAGTCTCCTGTCCCTATTTAAATAGTTCAAAGTGTAATCTGGCACATGATCCTAAAAGAAACTTAAGGATGACAGCATATGTGGAATGCAAAATCTGTCTAGGCTGGCTTCTCTTTGATCATTAGACAGAGATAGATGCATGCTCCTCATTAAAGAGATTTTTATTTATTAATCTTCTGAGTGTGTGGAACGATTTCTTCCTGAGAAGACATAGTAATTCTAGAGCAGCTGCATTTCCAGCCTTTTAGAAATATGTTTCTGAGGCAAGCTTTCCTATTGACTCAAGTGGCCTTGATTTCAAAGTGTTGCACTCAAGGACAATGACCTCTATAATACACCTCCAAAATTCTTAAATTAAATGACTGTACCACCACACATAATATAACAGGTTATAATAAGAATAGGCACAAACCATCATATTGAGGTTGGATAGGCAATCCAGTATGAAGAAAAGGGTCCCTAGAGCAGGTAAATGAGTCAAAGACACCCTCCTCACACTCCCACTTTTAGGAGTTCTACAAAAACACCAAGGTATGTGATCATAACATATATGCAAAGGACTTAGCACAGACCCCTACAGGATCCATGATTGCTCTTCAGTGTGTGTGAGCACTTATGACACCTGGTTTTTTGATTTTGTGGGCTGTGTTCTGCCGTCCTCAGTCCCTCTGGCTGCTACAATTCTTCCTCCCCCTTATCTGCAGAGTTTCCTGTATTCCTCCTAATGTTTGAATGTTGGTCTCTGCATCTGCTCCCATCCGTTTCTAGATTAATCTTGTCTCAGTAAAATTGGGCTAGGTATCATTCTATGAGTATAACAGAATATCATTAGGAATCATTTCACTGATTTATTTTTGCTAGTCTTGTTTGGATCTATCCTATTCTTGGACATCCAAGCAATGTTTGGCCTGGGTTCTCTTGCATAGAATGAGCTTAAATTTAGACCAGTCTTTGGTTGTCCACTCCCATAAGTTCTGAGCCACCAATAACCCAGCATCTTGCAAATAGGACTAAATGCAGTTTGAAGGTTTTGTGGCTGTGTTGGTGTCCCAATCCCAATACTAAAAGCCTTGCCTGTTTATAGAAAGCTGTTCAGGCTCCTCATCCCCCATTTTAGGAGTCCTTCCTAGGGTCATTTTCATAGAATTCAAAGAGTATCTAAAGAGGTAGGTTTACTGCTTCTTTTAAAGTTAGCAAGGAAAGTGGTTAAGTAAATGATAGCTATATTACAGAGGCTGCACTAGGTTTTCATATCAACACCCAAATGTCCCCGAATTCCAGTAGTCTCTCCTTATACTCTCTGTCTCCATCCCTCCTCACAGCCCACTCTGTTCTGTTCCCATCCCCACCTACCCCCAGTCTATCCAGAAAATCTATTCCATTTCCTCTTTCTCTGGAGATCCATGTATAACCCCCACCCCAGCCCTTCTTGTTAATTAGCATCTCAAGCTCTTTGGATTGTAGCATGAATATACTTTACTTTACAACTAACATTCACCTATAAATGAGTTCACACCATGTTTGTCTTTTTGGGTCTCAGCTACCTCACTCAGGGTGATTTTTATCTAGTTTCATTTGTCTGCAACTTTTATGATGTCCATGTTTAATAACTGAGTAATACTCCATTGTATCAGTATACCACATTTTCTTTATCCATTCTTTGGTTGAGGGAAGGTTGTTTCCACTTTCTGGCTATTAGGAATAAAGCTATTATGAATATAGTTGAGTAGGTGCCCTTGTGGTAGGATGGAGCATCCTTTGGGTATATGTCAAGAGTGGAATAGGGTCATCTTGGCATAGGTCTTATCCCAATTTTCTGAGGAACTACCATTTTGACTTCCATAGTGGCCGTACAAGTTTGTAAAAGTTATTTCCCATACAGGAATCAGCTCAGCTCAGCTCATGCCATTCTGAGGTTTAAGAGTTTCAGTGACTTGAAATTATTAGGCCTGCTCTTACTATCCTTAATGAAATTTTGTTGTTGTTTTGTTATTTAGCCCAGGCTGGCCACCAATTCATGGCAGTTTTCCTTCCAGCTTCTGAGTGCTGGTACTGTATTCCACATACCCCTTCAAATAGTTTAAAGTTACTGTCAGACCTGAAGAGTGAGGTTCACTACTTATAGAATGAGAAGGGAAAGTGGTTCAGCCAATGAAAGCTATCCAAGCAAGGCTGCAGAGATTGAGGGCATATGTTCACATCCATTGTGCCATTCACACATTTGTGGAGGGTTTAAAAACCAACACTCAACAAGTGTGGAGTAATGGTAACTATATTTGGCTGCTTGTCAGGATTGCAAGAATTGCTTACTACAGTTTACTCAACACCACCTGAGTTACTCTGAAGCACAGCAGTTAGGAGATGGAGCCTAGAGAGTGGAATTTTAAATAAACCTGCTTTAATGTGGGTATTTGTAACCTGCAGCTCTAGAGAGTTTCACAGAAGAAGGAACTCTCAACTTGGCATCATGTGGAATCTTCACACTAGAGGGATTATTTGCTAGTACAGGTATTCTGTATTTTTTTGAAGTTCAAGGACTTCCCTGTTGCCTACCTATTCTAATGGATGGTATTATAGTTTGTATGCATCTTAAATTGCCAACTTTGTCCTGTAACAGAGGCATGTAGCTAATGTTTTGACCTTGTTTAGCAAATGCATAGACCAGTGGATATAGTGAATTTGGATAATTGTAGCCTCTGTTGCTTTAGATAAAATTATTTTAAGCAATAAAGTCCTCCAACTCGTGAAATTGACCTAGGATAGTTCAGTAGTAAACTTGAATTAGCTCTTGTATGTTTGAAAAACAATCACACAGAACAAAATATTTATACTGACTTTGAGTGCCAGCAATTATTTTATAAAGCTTATTTACATGTATTTGTGAGATTTGGAGATGACTCATCAGGTCAAAGCATGTTGCTATACAAGCACAATAAGCTTGTTCCTGGGGACCCATGGTAAAATGAAACAAGTACTGAAAGTTCTCCATTCCAGTCCTCATGAGGTATAGCATATACCTGCACTCACACATCAGACACATATCACACACTTCTCCCTCTCTCTCTCTCTCTCTCTCTCTCACACACACACACACACACAAATGCACACACAACATACACACAAATCCACACACATAAAAACACACACCCCACATAAATCTACACACATTCAAACACACACACAAACACCAACATATACACAAACACAAATGCAAAGAAACGCAAACACACATACAAACATAAATATATACACAGCACACAAATACACACACATCACACATACCCACACACACAAATGCACACACAAACACATACACAAATATACACACAAATATATATACCCACAAAAAAACTACTGAAGATATATGTGGTAAATAAATTTACACAGGGCTAAATTTCTTGTTCAAATTGTTATTTTTTATTTGTATGAGATAATACCATGTACTGAAACGTTCTGACGTCATAAAACTAGTTTGTTCTGGTAGTCATAAT